TAGATCTCGAATAAATAAATTGTATAAATTTTTTCCAAACTAGTATTATTTCTACTGTTTGATATAACATAGCATAAGATGCAAATTGCACATGAAGTCAATAATTTATATATTCAAATAATTTAAAGGAATTCCTGTAACGTAACGCGAACTCTTATTCTATTCACTAAAATTTTATTTAACAATCTTTATTTATTAATGTCAGGTACAATATATATATTATAGAGTACGACTCAGATTATTGAAATAAGCGCTGTCAAAGAGAAAAAATTTCAGAATGCTGATCTCATCAGTGACTACGAGTGGGTTAACGCCCCAACTTAACAATTCCTCCTGTTAAAATATCTCTGCTTGCCTTCCTATTAGGCATTACTGAGATATAAAAGGTATAATAATGTAGTATTCTGCTCTATCTAATTAACTTGCGTAAAACCAAAGTTTCCTTATTCTGGATAGATTCAAAAACGCCAATTTTTGTTCAGTTTTGAAGCAAATAGTCTCCCTTTGGCTTCTGTGAAGAAATAATAAAGTAACATAAACCTACAGGTTTTGGTTGGTATTTTAAAATCTAGCCAATTCATGCGGTGTACAGTAGTTTTATAGAGTATGTTATCATTATTAAATCGCGACAGATAGTTTTTACAATTTATATTATATAGAGAATGCAAGACTTTGACTTTTGATTGACTAGCAGTTGATAATCTAATATGAATTTTTAATATATACATTTTAATGTATTCTGTATTGTATTCCCGTAGGAAAAAGGAATCAAAATATTCCCAGCGTCAGGCATATCCATTATAAGAGGTGACTAAAATCGAATTGGCACCACCCGATACTGTTTGGAGTATAAATAGTACTGGGTGAATTTCACTTGCGGCATCCGTCCAGAGGTGTAATTCTAGTATAAATGTTGTTGGAATCCAAAGCTTCGATTGTTCTGATCAAAAGAGATAAGTTTCTTAAAAGAAGTATAGTGATAACTGTTACTAAAACCCAAATAAACGTAGATGCAATGACTGTAATCATTACTATTATTCGATGTTGAGTTGCATTTTACAAACTAGTGCTGCGCCCCAAAGAATAACAGAGGTGCTTGATGGACCTCGGTTCGTACCCAAGATGAAAACTATATCCAAAAATATAAATACTGGCGGAATTCATTGGAATGACAATCGTTCAATTAGAGTGATCTGCGTCTTAAGAGCATAGATTTGTTAAGCCTTACTGACTTAAGCGCTATTACATTAAAAAACTATGAACTCTATATACTCCATGACATTTCAAGTATGTTAAATAATTTATAACACCAATATTTAAATTATTTGGGTTTATAGTATATTAGATTAGGATTAGAAGTTAACAATATAAATCGGTGTGTATATACTTCTCTATTTATTCTAAAAATTGTAGAGAGAATTAATGCTTCAATTATTTTTCCTAGAAATATTTAAGTTACTCTTGAAAACATATACATATATTCGTTTATATTAATTTATATTAAACGTATTAATTTATTTTACTGTAGGTATTGTCCATTAATATTAGAAAAGCTGTTCAGTTCTAGCTTTTCTGAAATTATAGAGAGTCTAACATAAGAAGTACATATAATATAATTATGAAACTATAAGATACAATATTTAAAACGTAATATTTATTATATATAAAATAGCTAAATAATCAATTTCAATAATAATTAAATAATACAGAGACTAGAGCAAAAGTTTATTTCTTACTAATAATATAAGATTAACTATACTGAATTAAATGAATTGAAATACAGAAACACACTTACATATATGTATATCAAAAATATAATACTTAGTTTTAAATTAATACATAACAAATCTTTTTAAAAAAATATATCTTAAATCTCTGTATAATTACAGTTTTTTATGTAGGCATGCATCGTGTATATTTAATGTTTTCTTCATGCAAATGTAGTTGGGAAGCCAACTTCGTATAATCTTAGTAAAATAAAGTTCATCTAAAATTTGTACTCAATTCTAAGCTCCAATAAAAGAAGAAGAACAGTTCATAATAAATATACAAAACTATTATTAAATACAATATATGTATATGTATATATTAACTTAATTAAATCACTTTTATTCCCTTCAGTGAAATATAAAATTGCTTATTTTAAATTTTTATTAAATATGCCTGCCGTTTTCTTCCATGAAGCATTAAAAACAGAAATTTGCTGCCCACCGTGGGAAATCACCACTACGTTAACAGGTGTTGCGTGAGAAAATTTCCCACAATTAAATAAAAATATATTTGAAAACTATAAAATTCATAGCATGAATGAAAGAAAACTTGGTTAAGAGGCACAAGAGGGTATGACCTATGCCGCACAAAACAATTTGCTCATCTCTTTCATGCATCTGCGTTTCAAGCATAAACAGTATCTTATTCGTTTTAACTCACATATAACACAGTTTTTTGAAGAAAAGTGTAGCTTAGTTAATGTTTTGATGTGAGGGATATAAATAGTGTAAAAAGTATAAAAAATATATCATATCCTATATGCACATAATATACATTAAACATAATATATACACATGAAATAAACAACAAATTTTATATCAAAATATATATAAATTTTATATATATATATAAAGTTTAATATAACTAAAAAGTATGTTGCAAATTTCTAATAATTTTTATTTGTATTAAGCATTGCAGGAAGTTACTCAAATAAACAAGAAAACGAAATGGAATTGCCTACATAAACTCATTATGTTAACTAAATTACCCACATATATTATAAGCAAAATTAGGTGCTTTCGACAGCTTTTAGGTGTGGTAAAAAACGGTAAGTTGCTCACTTAAAGTTGCTAAAATGAACAACAACAACACTACTTTCTCTAACTAAGCACCTAGTTGTGAAGTGGTTAAACATTTTAGCAACTAATGAGCGAACTTTTATGAATCTTCATTGGAAACTTCAACGAGTATTTAATTTTAATTTAAGCTTTATTATTTATTTTAACACAAAATGTATTTTTGCTGGCATTATGTGCACATAAAATTTGTTCTTTGCGAAAGTACAACATTTGACAGATTGCAACTGTGATGCCAATATCTTACTTAGGACGTGTGCGAGTTAGGCTAAGTTGCGTTCTAAATAAGGGAAATTCTAAGATGAGCCGATAATGTAGTGATGTGTCGATAGTGTTGATAAATGGCTAAATGTGTGCAGTGCAAAAAATCCCAAAAAATCTCCCATTTGGTTTAGCATCAACTTAGCCTAACTCGCACACGACCTTAGCGTCTATTATAAGCAACTTTCATTTTTTTGCCACACTTAAAAGCTGTCAAATGCACCTATTATTATATCCATTAAAAATTTTTATTTGGAATTTGAAAAATTAAAATTATTTTTAATTGGATAATTATGATTAAAAATAATTATTATTAAATTATTTACAATGTGTTCGAGATAATTAAGTAAAAAAAGGAATATAAATTTTTTAATAGCCTTTCATTACGAGAATGATGCTTTAAAACATTTCAATGTGACAGATTAGAATACAAACACACAAAAGTGAATAAAAATAAAATATTGGACAGCAAATCATATCGAAAAGCAAAATTTGAACAAAAACATAAGATAAAAATAAAATAAGAAGTTTAAGCAAAAGTGAAATGAAAAGAAAAATAGTTTCTGAACTTTATGCTATATATTATTTGTTTTAATATAATATTTTAAACGAATTCGAATAATTTTGTTTTTTAAGTTCTCATTTTTTTCTCTTTTAGTATTGACTATTTTTCTTTTTTTTCATTCTTTTATTTTTCTATATAAATAAAATATAAATAAATACTGTTATAAATATTTTTTTTTATTGTATTGCTGATTGAGACATGCTACTTTTCAGAAGTAAAAATAACATTAAAACCCAATGGAATAGGTAATTAAAGTTGAAACTGTTGCACATAAACACAATATAAATGTTCAATTATTTTTACAAATCTATAGAATTAAGTTTATCTGCTGCAAATTATATAGTGAAATAAACTTCTGGAAACTGAAATAAAACGAATTTTTTTTATGCTGTAATTATACTCCAAATTAACTCTTCCTAAATAAAATTATATTACTTAATACTTTTTTTAGTTGTCACATGGAAACTTATATTGCGATATTATCGGCACCTCAATTTTTTAAAATCTCATATAGTTAAGCAATTTTTAACATTATATACAAACACAACAACCAGATGCGCCACCTAGCGCATACTAATACAAAACTTGATAACCAATTTATATTCAAATACATAATAGCATAGTAAAAAAGAATGTTCAAAGCGTTGAGTTATACAAAAATCAGTAATTGTGTTGCTATTTCAGGCAAACCTTAAACATAATATCTTATCTTATATTATTTTTTTAATTGTGTGTATAATATATATAAATAATAATAATAAAGTATTCAATACATTTACTTATAACGCGCATAAAATACACTTAAAATAATATTGAACTCAAAAAGGGAATTTCTTGTACTTTTTTCTGTACAAAATGCAACATTGTTGACCATCTGTCGTTTGCGCTGTAAATAAAAATAAACGAAATCAGCAATTTTATTGTGAGCCGCGAAACACAGTGAATAAAAGAAGTTTGTTTTGTTGTGCTGGTGCTCAGTCGGTGTTTTAAGTTTAATAAGAAAATAACTTATCTGGTAATAAGTAAGCTTCGTTAATGAAATAGCGAAATTTTTACATAAACATAAAATTATTAAGGAAGTGCGAATTGAAATAATCACTTTAAGGATTTAAAAAATACAAAATAAATACGAATTCGATGGAAGCAACAACAAATCGCCGCGTGAGAAATGACAGCTGCTGTCAACGTAGTATGTAGCAGCGGCCGTCGCCGCAGCAAAAGCAGCATTTGTAGTTAAAATAAGCAGTTGTTGTTTTTGTTTTTTTGTGTTATTTTTTTTTACTTCAATTGTGTTACAAAAAATAAAAATTATAAATACAATACTAATCTCGAATATTATAAATGTTTTTCTGACAGAATATTTTTTATAAGTGCGTCAGTTAAAAAAAATAGTTTTACGATTTGTGTTTAAGTCAAAGATTTATTGGAGCGCGCGCAACATCAGCAAATCAACTTACAGTGCCAAACAATTGCATTTTACCGAATTTTGATGATTCCAAACAATATAGTTTTTGTTAAAATATTTAAAAAGCTATTAGTATAAATACTGAACATAGTTAAAAATGTTACTTGAATACTGCTTTCAACTTGTTACGCCTACAAATGCTAAATGAAGAGCTATAATAGCTTCACAATTGCCGCACCAACAGTAGCCGCTGCTGCAGCAACTCATTTGGATCACCTAGAGCATCAATATACTCAGCATCAGAGTTCCTCAAATAACGGCTACAGTAATCATCTGTTGGATACTTGTGATACGCTTAGTTCAACTTCGGCATTGCACGCACGCAACACAAATACTGCAGCAGGATTGCCGCAAATGCCACATTTTGGTTTAGGCGCTGGCACAGGTAGTGGTGGCGCCTACGCTCAAACACCACCTAGTCCACCAGTACATCACGTTGGTGGTGGTGGACTTATGCCACCCAGTCCACCTCAACATCAACAGCAGCATCAACAACAACATCAGCAACAGCATCAACATCATTTAGCAATGATACCGCGTGGCATAGGTGGTGGCAATAGTGGCGGTGGCGGCACACTTATCACAACTTCTTTGACAAGTACTAGTGCAGGATCCTATCGTCCTCATATTGAGGATAAGAAACTAACACGTGATGCCATGGAACGTTATATGCGTGAACGCAACGATATGGTGATTGTTATACTCCATGCGAAGGTACGTCCAAATTTTGCAAATATTTATGGAATTTTTAAAGTTTTTCAATTTTATTTCATTTTTTAGTGATGCACTTTTTAATTGTTTTAATGGAAATGCACTTACTTGATTTATGTATTGGCAAAATTTAATTTATATACACAGTCATTCACAAACAACAATCGTTTTATTCTTACAAACTTAACTGCAATGTTTTGTGAAGAAACATTAAATATTGTGAGTTAAGCAATCTCCGTATTTTATGGGAATTGGTTCGATTTCAATTTCATACTTACAGTTTATAGCAACGACTATCACCTATTCTCCAGCAAGTCTCTAGGATTTATGTCTTGGTTCCTCAATGTTTCTAATAGTTGGGAGATTTATGGGTACATATGTGAACTGCAATGAAAAGCAAAAACATTAATTTAAGTTTTGAAATCTGATATATTGGAGAACTATTGCCAATATTGTCAATAATTGTAGCTTTAAGCTTCAATCCGATTGCTCCGATTATTGTTTTAAAATTATAGCTTAATGTGTTTATTTGAATTTTAACAATTGTAAGGCACAAGTCTGGTCACCTTAAGTACTTCGTAAAAACACCGTTGAGTAAATGTTAATTTGTGTGAAAAGTCAGAGTCGTTATATTTGTAAACAAATGAATATTCGCTTTGAACTCACAGTAAAATTATCAACCATACAGTATATGTTGTGTATGCAATTATATATCAACTCAAAGCAATGATAAAAAATTAAGTTTATTGGTTGGATTCTATTTTGATTTATTTAATTTTATGCATACTTCTCTCTCACTATATTAAGAGTGAGCCAATTTTTTATACTTAACTTTTGCAAGTACTAATTCGAAATTATTCAGTAAAACATATATTATTAAAAAAACATTTGTAATTTAACTACTACTAGATAATTATGATGATATTGTTGGATAATACTTTCATTTTAATGGAAGAATTCTTGGTATCTCCTCCTTGCAAATGTTAAAGTTCTGACGGAAGTTTCTAATGTAATTAGTCAGCGATGACAAGTGGCTCAGACACTGAATTGATCATACCTGAAACTAGCTTTTTCTTTTTTGCAAATAGTGAAACTCGTAGGGAGTTAGGATTGTAGTTAGTCACCTTTGATAAGTGCCTGTGTGATGCAGAACTGACTAATTCAGAAATTACTAATAATAGTTCAGCTCATTATCTTAAAAGTTAACCCTGTTCTAGTTTCCTTCTCTCCGTATTATTCAGTAAGACTTATTATAAAAAATTCGTTCGTGCTATGCAATTGCAGCTATAAGTTGTGATGGCAGTCCTAAAGTTCAGTAGAAACCCTGTTAGGCTTGACGGAAGTTGTGGAAAAGCACTATTAAAAATTGGTTTCAACTGGCATTAGCTGGTAAATTCGCTAATGCTTTATACAAATCATTTATCGGTTGTAAATTTTAAATAATGAAATCCTGCATGAAGTAGTACTGCACGATTTGCGATTGGGAATTCTGAGGTTACTTTTTCAATCGAGATTCACTTTTAGTGCAATTTTCATTTTCGATTAGTAAATGTCGGGCGAAATGCAGAACATTCGATATTAGTTTATAACGATCTACATAATTTGCCGGAGTAGCAAGATTACCCTGAAGTGAATAGCTGTTTTATATGACTTGACAAATAAAATATGATTTAAGTCGATATACATATGTTTATAAAAAAAATATAAATATCTACTGACACTACTAAAAAAATATTAAATTACTCTAAAAATGTTTGATTGGACAACAATCGATCGAGAGTAAATCTAGATTGAATCCAGATCTACACAAAAAAAAAAAATATATATATAGAATTGTAGGACTATCTATCCGTATGTAATAAAAAAACGTTTCGTTATATATTGCTGTTACCCATAAGATAGTCCTGAATGCAAGAATATGAATCGATTTCAAGATAAATGTCAAAATAAGCATATATGGACTTGTTTATTAAATCTCACTTGAAAGAGATGAACCACATTTAGTCGCCTTAAAATTGTGTTTATGTCTTCGGAACATAAATCGGTCATTCCTGAAAATATAGAAATTATATAAATTTTGTAATTTGTTTCTTTTTTAATCTAAAAGTAACAAAAAATAATAGTAAAATAGTTTTTATATTAAATCAAACTTAAATTGTTCACTAATTTTCATTCAATTATTTTTTATCTCATATATGGTAAAATGTTTATTTATCTTATAAAGTGCCCAAATTATCTAGAACCACATATGAAGAAAACATTTTATCATACCGGATTGTTTATTTTTGTTTTTGATTTGGATTCATTGGGAACGCATCTTTTTTGCAATTAAGTCTTTATTGACTGAACTGTAATTCACAGAGAAGAAACATTGTTAGCCTTCCAAGAATTTTGTATTCCTGATGCAGCAGACTATGAACATTTTTTATCTGTGTTATTATTATTAGTTTATTTATAGGCTTATTGTTAAATGATCTAAGTGTGTAGTGAGCCATTGTGCAATTTTGCATTTACGATTATAGCTAATTTTATAAAAGTATTCGTCTAGAACTCTAACAAAATATTTAAAGCACGTTTAAGTTTTTTATAAATTCAAGTAAAAATTTTTGTAGAATACAGAATCTCAAACTAGAAATCATGAAATTATTATATAGGAATCAATAAATTTATGTTTGATTTTCAAACATTATCATTCTTATTTATATTAAAGTAAATATTACAAAACTTTTAATATATTTTTCATATTATTTTATGCAACTGTACTGATGTTTAATCCAAAACTACATACTCATTTCCAATAATTACTTTATATAGGAATGTCGTTGTTTATATATATAGGCATTACCTGTAATAGTTAATCAATTTTGTCCATTCATTAAATTTATCTATTTGGATTCATTCAAAAATTTGCAGACAAGTTTTCATATTAACAGATAAGCATGGAAACAGATAAATATAGACATACGAAAGATCGATAGACAGACAGACCGTAGTCTTACATCATCAAATTGATAAAACTAATCAGCTTTTATTCTATCGAATAACAAGAAATATTGTCAGATCTAATGGCTCAGTTACTCGGTATTCGTCAAGTCAATAACATGACAAAAAAAAAAATGTTAAAAAAAATGTACTCTAGCTCAGTCTAATTATCCCAAATACTTTAATACCAAAATATCAGCAATTCCTAAGTAAAAATAAATTACAAATAATTTCCTTTCGTGACTTATAAGCAAGATCTAATGAGAATATTTCTTTCATCTACTGTAAAATAAACCCCCAAATATAATAAATTTATGCTATCACTACTTTCAATCTTGAAAGCGCTTTGTGTACTTTCTTTAAATTGCTGCGTTCAGTTTCTTGAGTCATCCTATTTGTACTTCAAAAGACTGTTCAGTCTTAGGAGTAAAAAGTCACTGAGGACCATGTTCAACATATATGGTGGCTGAAACATAATCAAAGTCGTATATATGGGGTTGTAACTTCTGTTACAACCCCACTTAAACAATGTTTCTTATTGACCATATAATCATATAGTAGGAACTCAGATAATAGTACTTTTTTATTTGTTCGAAGTTGTCTAGTTTTTTGTTCGGTTTTGACGTCTTTTGGTGTTAATTTTAACGTTATTCGCATACATCTATGTATTGTCATTTATTTCTAATAATTCAAAATTATTGCCTGTGTGACATCGGATTAGACTAAAACAGTAAAATTCACAGAACTTGTGATTTGAACTAACTCTTTCAGACTATATTTGTCATCTCCACTTTATGAATCTTATAATTTTTTATTATCTATAAATCTTTAAGGAAACATTTTTAGTCTAAGCGTTAAGTTTATTTTAAAAAAACTGAATGTGTGTTGAATGTTTTAAATTTTTGCAATATTATATTAAAATAGCAAATCTGGCTATTCTTGGATCTATAATTCAAAAACACTCCTATACAATGCTCAAATGACACTTTCTACTTTGGTGAAATTTAATCTCTAGACTCACAATAAAATTATAAATTTTCAACATAATTTTTTAAATAAATGTAGTTATAACCTCTTTCATTATTTGAATTGGTTAAATCACAGGAACCTATTATAATATATTATAATACTTATATATCCTAAATTTAATTAATTTTAACAGTAACAATATTTATAATTTCTATTCTAATTAAATCGAAAAACATAGCTTTGTAGTTTATTTAAATATTTGCTAAATTATAATCCATAAATATTTCAAAAGACTTTCTTTAGTTTAACTTATAGATATATGAAAATACATACCGCCTCGTTATAGTTAAGGAAATCTAACAATCTGACATCTTGAGGGCAATTTTAAATTCTTTTTTTGTTTTAAAACAAATGTGTTTGAAATCTCCTCTGTATACATGATATGATATCGACTATATTAAAACAATACATATGTTTTATAATAAATCTTATAAAATTTATTATTTTAATTCCATTGACGTGCAATTAAGTAATTATAGATACTATTCGTAGTAAGCAAGCAAGCGAAGCTCTAGACTACTTCATGCTGCAATGCCATATGTTCACTGCTTTCCGAACCTATCATGTACATTTTCCTTACAATTTTTTTTATGTCTTATACTAAGAAATCACCGCCCGCATATATAGTTCTTTATCAAGAAACACACTATAATTTCTATTATATTTAATTATATATATATTTATTTATATATATATTTATTTATATATATATTTATTTATATATATATATTTATTTATATATATATTTATTTTTATTTAATCGATTTTTATTTGACACCTTGTACCCAGGTGAAAAAAATTAAAACGTCACCGACGTTTGCTTTGCCAGGAAACACCCTTAATATTTATTATTATTATATTTATATTATTTATTATATTTATATTATTTGTTATATATATATTATTTATTATATTTATATTTATATTTTTTCATATTTATATATTTTCACACTTCTATTTTTTTTATATATATTGTTTTTTATATATATATT